ATAAAAATACGAAAACTAGCGGGATTTTTAAGTGAAATGTCGTTATAAAACTGTCACTAATCTTCTATTTTCTTGTAGTGAATATATAATTTTCATCATAAGCTTTCAAATTATGTATCATATTAATTTAATTTGAATCCTACTAACTATATATTCAACTTATATTGTAGTGTTTGATAAATATTATTAAGTTATGTATTTATCATATATATTATTAGTATATTTTTTTAATGTAAATTAAAATATATTTTTTATCCAAATCGTAAAAATTATATAGAATTAATCAATCATTTTTTATCACATAATATCCATGTAAAGTTGTTAGAAAATAATTAACACTTTTATATAACAATTAACATACATATAATAAAATTAAACTCATTAGACACAATATAGATAAATTAAATTAATAATATTAAAATTAAAATTAAAATGACTTTAAAACTGTATTTGGACTTTAACAGACCTCCAATGGAAGTGTGGTTAGCATGAAAAATTGTGTCAACTGGAGAGCTAACATCCAAACAAAATATCAATGGCGTGATTTGTAGCGATAGTCCACTTGAGTATTTTAGTCAAGTCGTAAATTAGTTTTTTTTATTAGTTTTGTTTTTAACCTTTCAATTTAAGTTGTGATGATAAAAATGTCCTGATCATTTAACTTTTCTTGTTTTATTATTTAACTAGTTTTTTTTTTTTTTAATCCATGTCATGCATGGAATTTTTTATTATATTTTGTATAATTTAAAATTTTAATTTATATTAATTTTATATTATATATACATACATAAAAATATTTATAATCATCTATAATTTGTAGTGTAAAATTACAAAAATCATGCATATATAAATAATTATGAAAGAATCCAAATAAGTATTACGAAAGTAAAATTACATACAAACCTCAATGAAAAAATTAATCTTTAGTTCATAATTGCATACACTCTTAAAAGTATATATTATTTTAGTATGAAAATTAAGATTCACATGTGATATATCATGAAAGACTTTTTCATATTTGATTTTAAAACTTTATCATACCAAACTTTTGTGATAAATATATGATTGCTCTATCTTTTATAAAGAAGAAAATATCGATTTTGAGAAAAAATCATAAATATATTTTTGATAATTATTTAATTTTAAAAAATTTTAAATTTTTAAAAATACAGTTTATCCAAGTTTAATTTTAAATTAAGATAAAAGAGGTTTGTATAATTTTAGACATAGATATATGTGTAATTTTAAATTGAGATAAAATATTTTTCTCTTTTATTTAAATAAAAGAAAAATAAAGACAAAAAGTTTAATACATAACAGTGATTCAACCACAAACTTTATTTATTTAAATTTATGTGAATATTGATTTAAATGGTATGTAATTTTTTATAATTATTAAGATTTAGGGATTTTACCTTTAAAAACTATCTAAAATTTGTATTTTATATAAATGAATAAGAGTAAGATATGATATATGTTTTTTCAAGTTTAAATTAGGATAAAATTTATATACTTTGAAAGATTTTGATGAATGTAAATTTTGAAACTTTAAAATTTTTAAAAGTTGAATAACTGATTGGATAAAATTATTTAGATACATGTTAATAATATAAGTTGTCCATCTAAATGTTCACGTAAACAAATTTTATTAGATTTCTATATATGTTATAATATAATATTATATATGATTTTTATTTTTATTTAAAAATTATGAAATAACAAATAAATTATTTATTATATAATAAATTAATAATTTAATACTTTTTAATTATTTATTAACATAATTATAATTTAATAAAAATAATTTAATAGTTTTTAATTATTTATTAATTTTATAAATATTAACTAATTTCAAATTTTTATTATAAAATTTTAGGTTTAACATTCTTAACTCGATCTTTTTTTTTTGCTCATTATAATTTATCTCACTGTTATTATTGTATTTACATTCAAATATATTTCTTATAACTGATTTCAATTCCAATACTATAATAACCAATCTCAAATGTACCATTATTTTTTATCTCACAAAAAAAAAATATCATTATCTATTTAAATGGATCCTAAATTACTCTTTAGAAGTTACAAATGGAACCATACAATTGTTGGACTACTTGATAAGCACCGAAAATGTAAATAATTTTCTTTATTTGTAAATAATGATGACCAAAAAGTAATTTTTTTTATTCTATCGCCTTTATTGATCCGTCTAATTCAATAAAAATAATATTTCCTTAAGCATACATACGAAAACAGTGTTTTCTTCTTACCAAATTCAGTATGATTTTAATAACACAAATGGTTGGATTTTTGAAGAGAATGTAGAGTTAAATTTTTGTCAATTGAACCTTTTACATTCTTTTATAATCAATGTTTAGCCTTAATTCTTGTATTTTATACTAAATTTTATGAGATTTTATTCAAATTTGAAGCCTGTGTCTTTAATTCAAACCTTACTAAAAATAATTTAAAATATTGCTTAATTATAGGAAATGTCCATTTTATTAAACTTTTTGCCATTATGGGATCAATTATTATTGTTTTCTTTATTAATTTGTATGATCTTACATAATTTTTTATTGTAATTAAATAATATAAAATTATAATATAAAATTTAGAAATAAAATAATCCCTATATCTAATTATATTTATTTATATAAGATATAAAAAATAGCGTATGAGGAGGGATTAATATGTGAATGTGAGGCTAATTTGATCAAATTAAAGCCATGCAGCGCCATCAAAATATATTTTTATGTGTAAGATTTACTAAAAAGTTTTGCAATTACATAAATTGATTATTAGCACACGAAGTGACGCCCACTTTGGATTTTGATTGAAAGTACTCCAATTCCTATTTGATTAGAAGAAAAAACATGATTGTATGCGACAAAGATCATTTCCGCTTTATCATATAATGCGACAAATAGTGATTATTATTTGCGGATCTTTTCTTTGTTTAAAAATATTTATTACTTTAATTAAATTATCTCACGCAAATATATGATCTCCAAGATACAATGATGCGGCAACTTAGGAGAAAAAAATAAGCCAATGGAAATTGCCTACTTTTTTTTTTTTTTTGGGCATCTTCACTCTCTCAACTCTCAAAGTTTCTTTCAAAACCAAACTCCCAAGTGAGGAGCACGTTCATATGGATGTCCTTTGCTTCTATCTGATCTAGGTATAGATAATTAGCACATCCAACTTTCCTTGATGTTTATCATTACTTTTACTTCAATCCTACATTCCAATATTCTGTTCTTAGGTTTATATACATATATATATATATATAATATTGTATCTAATTGGCCAAGTCAATTTGATGAAGTCATGAGGAATTGGTTTGTTACTTCCAATCTAATCTCTTTCCCATGCAATTTTGGGAAAGTCAAATAGTTGACCAAGTAGCTAGTTTATATATATCAAACATATTTTGATCAAGTAGCTTTTTTTTTTTTTTAGAGACAGTTAGGGGTTTTCTCATATGTTGCTTGGATCTAATCTCTTTTCCATGCAATTTTAAGAGTACATTATGTTAAATTGACTTGCAAGTGCATTTAAGATTTTACTTCTGTAATATTTTCCACAAAAATCGAACACAAGTTAACAAGAAAAGGGACTCCTACCTTATTACCAATCGAACTAACCCATTTGAGTATAGCATTGTGCACTTCACCAACTATAAATATATATATATATATATATATATACAAAATAATAATTTATCAAAAATAAAATCAAACGTGCAAGCAACCTTTTTCAAAAAAAGGATAATCCAATTTCTTAATTCCACTTTGATCGTTTTTGAATCTTTCGTTATGGCCAGGTCATGCATGCATGCATAATGGTGCTTAATTTAATATTTGAGGTCTGGAGAATATATTAGATGTGAAGACAGCCACCTTCGCTCAAAAGGTTAGGATAAAATGATAACTATTACTATATACAAAACTTAAGCCTAATTTAGCATTACTCCTAAAAATACTTCTTGGGTTCAAAAATTACATTTATCTAATTTCAATGTTAAACAATAAAAAAAATGTGGAATTTGAGTTTAAAATCTAGTTTTCGGATCCAAATGACGAAGCTCCTCATGTTTTTGCAATGACAAAATGTTTTTTTTTTTTGTCTAAGTCATGGTTTTATTCATGGTTAATAAGTAGAGTACATATCACGGTCCCCTTACAAAAAGCTTAACTGCCTGAAAGGAGACTTAAATCAACAAAAAACGCATCAAAGTGACGATAATGAAAGTGCGCTTGAGACAGTGACGAATCAAAATTTTTTTAGAATGTCCACTTATATAAAGAAATTGTAAACAAAATTTTGAAATAATATATTATTTTATTATTACAATTGTTTACAACGAATTCTTATATCTTTAAAAAAATAACTATATCACTTCTAATGCTATCAATATATTCTTCTCAATATAGGTAACTAAACTACCAATTAATCAAGAAATAGAAATTTTATTTTGCAAATCACTTTTTATCAACTTCGTCGCTGAAAATTTTGGGAGCATCTAAGAAAAATATTTTGGGGATGTCCAAAAAAAATTGTAGAGGTGTTAAAGAAAAAATTTTCTTTCAAAGCTTTTTTATTTTTCAATTGTTGAGGGTGTCCTACTATTGGCTTGGCATCCGCCACTGGTTTAAGATAAAAATTATTATATTATTCCTTTATTTTTAATATTTTATTATTTTATGTACATATTTTTGAATATTTGAATTAATCACAATATATATTATAATAATACCAAAGACTTGAAATTTTAAATAATTTTATTATATTTTAAATGTACTTTTCTCAACTTGAACTTTTTTAACCAGAAGAGCAATGCTAATAGAACCCTTAAAATTTTGTTGGAAAATGAACGTACCTACTTAATTTCAAGTACAACTTAATAACTACTTTTTTTTTAAACCAAAATAAATGTTTATTTATTCTAACAAAAAACTTACAAATATCCAACCCAAAAATCACAAATACCATAATATAGAATGATCAGAAAACAAGAGAACATGATACATAGCTAAATAGCTACTTTATCTTTTGAAAATTGGATTAATAAAAGAGTAAAAGACTAGGCGTATTAAATGTAGATAAATTCGATCGCATGATACAAAATATCACATCAGCTGTCCTTTTATTCCGCTGCATTACATTACCCACTAACATATCCATCATTACAATTTGCCATAGGAATCAGAATATATAGAAGTGATTTTAGAAATAATTGAAAATGACACATTTAAAGAGCAAGGTACTCATGATCTCTTTACTTGGAAGCTGACCTTTAAATGTCTTCAACCTTGTTGCTTCTTCTGACCAAACTCAATAGGGCCTCAGGCCAGCTTACAAAAAAAAAACAACAATAGAAGCAAACAAATCATTGAACTAATTGAAAATTAAGGTGCTCATAGGAAAATGATGTATTCACTTCCCACTTACTATTCTTACTTTTGTATCACAGTAATGTACATCTTCCCACTTACTATTCTTACTTTTGTATCACAGTAATGTACATAATTCTTTTGCAAAGAGTGCCACCAATTGGAATCCTGTGATGGGAAAGTAAGAGCATGAAAGGTGGGAGCGAGGGACCTGGATGTAAGAATTGGGAGTGCTTGCTGCATTATCCTATTTCATGGCTAACCAAATGGTAACATATGGTAGATTTCCTATGTCCACTTGATACATAGAACTTGAGAAGCTACAATATCTTCTACTCGCTTCTGTTACTTGGATCAAAGTCCTTCCCATGTTGCTCCGGATAATCAAGAGCAGAGGAGCTCTCATACTTGGTTGGAAATCTTGTTAGGTCTTGATGGTATTGCTGTGATGAGATAGTGGATGAAACTGACATTGAAGGAAATTGTGGAGATGATAAAGGTTTTTGATTGAAGAGATTTGAAGTGTAATAGGAAATATCAGCATCATTACTACTTGAAAGTAGTTGTGCATATTGAAACAAGTGGGGATATGAATCCACAGACCATGATGAAGGTGGAACTACAGGCGTAGGATTTTGTTCAGAACGCGCGGTGCTTGAATTTCCAGGACCCGTTAAATAGCTTACCTCCGTATTCCCTTGAACTCGTTCAGGAAAATTTAGTTTTGCCTTGGTGCCTTTGAACTTCAGAGCAGCTCTATCATATGCAAGGGCTGCATCCTCAGCCGTGTCAAAAGTGCCAAGCCACACTCGGGCTGCTTTCTTTGGGTCACGAATTTCAGCTGCCCATTTGCCCCATGGCCTTTGCCTTACTCCTCTGTAATGTCTTCTCCTTGCGTTTTCTTCACATACAGAAAGGCAATACATGAGGACATAACATGGGATTATACATGCCATTAAATTACAAATGTCAACAAGTTTACTAATCGACTCTCATCCTTCACCATTTAGCACATACATAAACAATTTTAAATTTAGCTGCTTTTTGAAGTAGGAAAAATGAAAAAAAAAACAATGTTAATTTGCACATTCCAATTTGATGATTAATGCACAACCATTTATATTTTTATATATACAAATACAAGTTTCTTTGCATAAGCACGACATAAAGGGAAGCAAGAAGAGGTGGGGCATTAGGCAGTGCTCTATATATTAATAACATAATGTGTATGAAAGTAGTTTTATGTCCTAGCTTAATTGATCACCAAAGCTTGTTTCCTTTTCTCCCAAGTTGTCGAATTGTTGGACTAAAGTTAACGAAACCCTTAGGGAAAAAAATGAGAAAACAGTTTGTTTTAATATACTTGCTTATAAAGACGAGTTGCACTTCTAATTAATTGTTTCTCACTATACGTTAGGCAAATACAATATTGAAAAAAGAAGGAAAGATGCATGCAATCTTGACAAAGGATATAAACAAGATAGAATATTTGACCAATGATTTGTGAATAAGCTTAGTTTTTTTTTATTATTATTAAGTTTAACAAATGATTACAAATAATTTTTCAAAATTTATTAATTAAACAGATCACGAATATAATAAAATTCATTAATATTTGATTGATTTATCATCAGAAATATAAACAAACAAAATGTTCGATAAACAATTTGTAAACAAATTTCTTTTTCTTCATTTATATTCGTTTATTAAACTTAAAATAAATAATCACAAATAATAACGATTATCAATTAATCAAACATATGATAAGAGGAATATAGTAAAATTTGTTCATATTTAATTCGTTTAAATCCTTTTAAGTCCAAAAAAGACAGATAGGCAGTGTCGTAGCACCGCAAGCAACTTGAAAATCGAGTTTACTACACGCATATTATTTGGATGTAGTGGATTTTAGAGTGACCATCGTGAAGGCCTTAAGTCGGAGGAATGATGAAGAAATTAGAGGGAGTTGGGAAAATAAATTTCAAATCCGGGTTTTTTTTTGGGGGGGAGGCAGAAATAACTGACTTCCTATACTAGAAATACTAGTCATTTTCAAAGTTAGGCACAATTTAAAAGCAAAGAATGTAAGATTGGCAATGGGAAGATAAGTTCCTTTCCTCGGTCAAACAAAAAGATAAAAAGGAATGAAAGTATCCCACGTAATAGAAAGACCCCGCCCCTTTTTGTTTATTTTTCATAAGTTTGACGATCAGAATCCTGGAGCTTATCCAGTAGTAAGTAGATAAGAAGCAGCCTACCAAGCTTGCTACCTGACCAAAACTCTGGAATTATGATTATAACTACAAAATATATATTCAATATATAGTACAGTAAGTAAATTTTTTTTTATTGTTTTGGGTCGTGAAAAAATTTAGAAAAAGCATGGAAGAATGACTTGTGTAAACACAGTACATTTTATGTAGGCATGGAGAGGAGAGAGACTTGTTTACGGAAAGTAACAAATTAGCTAGGCCCTGGATGGATACATTGAACTCGATTAACCCTAGAGACGACACTAGCACTTCCTTCTTGACGAGCTACACACTACAAAGAAGGGTAAAAATCAAGACGCCGGGTAGATCTCTCTCTGAAGAGGAAAATTTGAAGGACAGGATCAAGAAAATGAAGGAAAACATAAAGAATAGAGATGGATCACGACTGCTACGACCAAACAAAGTTGATACTATCAGAAAGCAGACAAACGAAGCAGAACCAGCAGAAAAAATGGTTGATCATCGATCTTTAAGATGTGCTAGATAACAGGTAATTTGAACGGTTTGTTTGCAGAAACCATCCTAGCTGCCTACTTTATTGCCAATCAAGAGAGAGTTATATATAGTCAAAGATATATTACATATAAATACCTTGATCTTGAGCTGCGGCTGGTTGATGGGGGTCAGGGTCTTGTTTCATCGCAGCTTGTGGTGAGGGAGCCGGTGATTGTGGGAAACTAAGCTGCTCATCGCTTCCCATCACTTGAGTAAGAGACGTAACCATGGCCGTCATATCCGCGGAATCAGTCCAAGAAGTTGCAGTCGCAAAGTCATCGCGTCCTTTGCTTTTCTCCTCCGATGTTTCCGATGGAAGCGGCCGTTTTCCATGCCTCCGATCCACCTCAATTACTTTCCTGAAAGACTTTTTTTCAAAACCAAATACTCTTGCAGATATATAAAATGGTTTGGGACGAAGAAAGAGCCTAGCAGCCACAGTAGTGCAATGAGAGATGTTGGGGAGATTAAGACAGGGAAGTAGCAGATCAAAGCGTTTGGAGTTGGGGGTGTAAGTTCCTTTGGGTTTAATATATGGGACGGGGAGGAAATTAGAATACGAAAATAGGGTTTTCTATTTGACAGTCTTTATTTTGGATTTGGGACCTTTCTTTTTCGGTATTATATGTTTATTGGATCGAGATTATTACAAATATATATATATATATATAATGTCACAAACACCATTTAAATTATATTAAAAATTTAATATAATATTTAAATTTTAAAAATTTTTAATATGATAATTAAAAAATAAATTTATTAATTAATGAATATTTTGAAAGTAGTTTGTTTATCATATATTATTTTTTAAAATCAACTCTAGTAAGAATTAGTGTCACATTAATTAATAAATTAATAATTTAAATATCATATTAAAAATTTTTAAAATTTAAATATTATATTAAATATTTTACTATAATTTATGACCTTCTTATAATATTAACTCTTAAAAAACACCAAAGCTTGTAATGTTACTATTAGGACTTGGCCAAAAAGAGAAATTTAAACAGAAAAAAAAAATGTAAAAGGTATATATATATGAAGGTAATGAACTCATAATTTAATTTGGTTGATTAATATAATCATCTTCAACAGTTTTTATATTTCTCATGTGTTGATGATACTTTTTTATATCTTCTGTGCTTTATTGTATTGTTATTTGTAGTTGGATTTGTAGCCATTTCGTTACTTTTAACAAAATTTTATTTTAAATTAACAAAAAAAATCATTTTTAAAAAGTTACATTTAATATATCTAAAGTTTAAATTTTAATATTTTGATAATTTTAAATACTTTTGTAAAAAAGTCATTATATTAAATATTACTAATACTTTGAAATTAGCATTTAATTATAAATATTATAATATAATTATTCTAGATAAATAGTTTGTTTTGATACATAAAAGCAATTTAAAAAATTTGCATTACATTTCTAATAAAACGTTAATACATTTCTAATAAAAGGTTAATTTACCAAACAGTATAATGTTACATATTTTACATTTTAATTAACACTTTATCATGTATATCAAACATTGCAATGTTTTATTTTTTTTTTTTCAGCATTTTAATTCTCTATAATTACCTTCCTGGCTTCCTTATATTCGCGTTTCTTGTAATTTAATTGTATTAAAGTACCAAAAGAAACCTTAATGTAGATATGACATGCACCGACTTTCTTAGTTTCGGTTTTGTTCGTATTTTTAAAAATTATTTTTTAAAAGTAAACAAACAAAAAAACACGTTTAATTACAAAAACAAATACTAAATATAAGAAATGAATATATTCAAAATATATAAATTTTATTTTTATATGGATTAATTAGGTTAAAATTCCTGTCAGATTTCAACTATTTGTTCATTAACTTGAAATCAACTATAATATTGCATTTTATATTTTGCTTTTATTTATACCAAAATTTGAAAAAGTAAATTAAATTTATAATAAAAAAAAAACCTTAATCATCTTATTAACGTGGATATAAAAAATCTAAAAATAACCAAAGAAAAAGCTTTCACAACTCTCTCATCTCTCTATTTCGAAAAGGACAAAACAACTTTTGGTTGTTTTCTTAACTTTTTATTGAAGAAGTGGTTTCATAAATATTTTTTTAAAAGATAAAATCTTTTTGGAAATGATTTGATGTCTCAAACTGTTTCTTATATTGAGCAGCCAACCCAAAGGTGTCTTGATACCATGTATCTTTACGCTTTGGTATGGCCCACAGCAAAGTTTCTTGCTGACCACAGATTTAATCTCAATGATTAAAAAAAATCAGGTATCCCTTCGATCGAAGTGAAAAAGAAAATATATTTTTTTAGTTTGAATTTAAATTTATTGAGAGACTGTTAAAGCGGAAATTTTTTTAAAATTTATTAAATTTAATATAAATAAATTTATTTAAATTTATCAAAAAAATTAAATAAAATCCAAAAATCCTTTACCATATTTAGAAAACGAGATCCACATATTCCAAAATTTCTACTCATATCTTGTAATTCACACGTTTCAAATTTAAATAAGGTAGGCAAATTTATTAGTATTACATTTAAAACATATCCATTTCAGTCAAACAATATTTTCTGTCTCAGTAGAAAATAATAACTAATAATAATAAAAAAAGCAAGAAAAGGAATCATTTTGAATTTTCTTAACAAGACAAAATATACATCATCTGTCGGCAATTTGGTGATTTTTATTTTTATATTTTTACTTTCACGAGTCAAAAATTCAAATACAACATTTTGAAAAAGAGATACACACAATTAACAACGAATAAAATATTCAAATGTTATAATTCGATGACTTTAAATTAATAGGTTATCCCATGAAAAATACCACATAAAGAATTATATTTTTTTAATCATATTTATGGCTTTCTTAACTTTATCTTATTGATAATTGTTAAAATATTGTTTATTCTTATTTTATATACGTTAAATACAATAATTGATAAATAATTTAATAATTTTTAATGTATTAAATAATTATAAAACATTTTAATTATGTTAAATAGAATAAATTTTGTATAAAAAATTAAAAATTTATTGTCCGTATAATTTTTAATTTTATGAGTAAAATTAATAAAATAATTCATATCTCATGCATATATTAAATAAATTAAAATTTTAATTAAAAAATATCATATTATAATATTTTAATTTCACTTATAAAATTAAAAATTACAATATCAATATATACAAACTATTAAAGTAATGATAATCTAAATCTTACAGCAATTAGATTTGTACATTTTAAATACATAAATATAATAAAATCATTATATCTTAGCAATTAATTTTAAATAGAATCAACCTCTAAAATTTCACAGATCATGACTCCCAATATATGGTCCATTAAAATTGCACAAGAGAAATGCAAGCAAATTCAACACAAACACATGCATAGCATATTCAACAGCGGACATCAGCGTCTGATCTTTGAGATCCTACAATATTAATGAAAAATCACGACCCAAAAAAGAAAAAAGTCAGAGACAGAGGGACAGAATTTCGTCGAGAATTGAGATGGACATAGACAAATGGATGGTCGTCCTTCGAGTGCATGTGCCCATCACATCTCACATTTCAAGAGAGAGAAATGTAGTTAGTATTTAAGTAATTGCAAAAATCATGCGTTTTTGCTGCAACAATAGCATATAGACATGAGGAGTAGGGATGATAATTGATAAATGGATTTTTTCCCTGCTTTGTTTCTCATGAAAGTAGCCAATCGCGATGGTTTTAACCTTCCTTGTGCCTGCCTAACGTGCAGCCTGGTTGATTGAGCCTGATCGATTATTCATCTCCCCCCCTTTCTTCCCCCAACCCCTCTATAGAAACAAAGAATCATTTCATGGCGATTGGGTAGCTATTCCAATTAAAGCACCTTGAAAATCTTAAGGTTTTATTTTGGGTAATCGGTTGTTTCATGTTTGGCCGTACTCAAACATTTAATTTACTCGGACCAGACGATGCTCTTGTAAGCTTTTTATGGTATAATTAATTATTATTTTGAATGTATATAACAAAAATTCATTTATATTAATATAAGTTATATAATTTTTTATTATTAAATCAAAATAATTACGATTAAAAATTTTATTTTAATTCAAATTAACTATAAATTTAATTTTGATATAAATATAAAAAATGGATGTATAATTTATATCATTACAAGCAAATCCCTATTCATATATATATATATAATTTTTTTTCTTTTTCAAGGAATAGTGATTGACAATCAAATGATCAACGAGCACTAGTCAAATATACATGGCGTACATGTATTATGCCAAAGATACTAATTAAAGAATTAATTAGGAACTCTCTTTTATTCAAGGGAAAATAATCTATAAAGTTAATGTTGATTTGATGCTATAAAAAATCTTTTAATATCATAAAAAATTTTATTTTTTAATCTTTTTTTCTTAAGAAAAGAAAAAATTATGTAATATAATAATTATTACAAAATTTACACATACATAAAAATTTGACAATATAAAGACTAAATTGGAAAAAATAAAACTTTAAGGAAAATATTGTATATGTACAATTTCTGAGTATGAAATATGTGTTTGTAATATTGTATGTAATTTCAACTTTAGAACATATATTTCTCTGAAATGACATATGTACTCTCCGACTGCATATCATGTCAAACTAATTTTTGATCCTTATATTTAAAATTCATAAAATATCTATAGTTTTGATTTTTTTTTTTTTATAATGCTTCTGTGTAGAAATAAAAATTTCAATCACTAGGAGCCTCAAGCTTTAATTGAACACAAAATATAGACTTCTTACACTTTTTAACTTTTAGGAGGATGGGCGAATTTGAATGGGAAAAAAAGCAAGTTTGATGGGAAAAAAAAAAGCTTTAATTTGGTTCGGCATTAAAATTTTATAAAACAATTTGATGGGAAAAAAAAGGCATCTTAGAAAATCTTTTACAATTAATGCTGTCCAACACCTTAGAAAACCTTTTATGTGTCGCATATCAAAAGCAAACACGTGCTAAAAGTTAGCACCGTAATCTCTCATAACATAACGACAAAGCTTCAATGGAATATAATATTTGTCGGTAACCAAATTGTCAAGAACTAATTGCCATAACGAGGCACATGAAGACAAAGAACCGTCTTTCACCCTAATTGATGGCATGTAATAAGATTTTTTTTTTTTTTTCTGACCGAATGTGTTAAAAAATCCATTATATAAAAAATAAAAAATTATGATGCAAAAGTAAATACATGTATCATATCAAATCCCACTAATTACTACTTTTATTACATTAGCATAAATCTTTTATCATATCTCATAAATTTGATAACAAATTAATAGATGTAAACAAAAAAGCCTACCAACTTTATCACTTTACTTAGGTAAATCTCTATATTTTTATTACACTTAAATAAAATTTTAAACTTTAATTTATAATAAAATAAGCTCTTAACTTTAAATTTACCTTCAAATAGATCATTAACCTTTATTTGTACTTAAATAAATCTTTAATAAAAATAAATATTTTTATTTGAAATAAACGCTTAGTTGAATGCAAAAATAAAAAATAAAAACTTATTTGAATACAATAAAAGCATAAGAATTTATTTTAAAAAATGGAATAGT